TGAAACTATAGACTTAGTATTTTGACTTCACAAACATCTAATTTGAACCAGTGTTGCATTCAATATACCACGTGACACACAAAAATCAATGTTCATTTGTGTTTTTTGATACTTACTTTTAAATTAACAAATTGAGTAATGTATACTTCAAGAATTTGAATTATAATCTACAGTTTGATACCAAACTTATTGACATAAATTCATGAAATAGTAGTTCAACAAAAATTTTGAATGTGACTCCACAAACAAGATGACATGGTCTTTCATCTGTGACCTGTATAGAAAGGGATAATTGATGAAAATTAGATGGCTGTAATATGTAGATATTCAATGCTTTGTACACAGTACAGTCGTTGTCTTTCTGGAACCAACCCATATATTATGTATGAAGTGAAAGTGTAAAAAAAAAATCAATATACATAATATTAATTTTTTTACACAATTCATAGAATAATTACTCCAAAAGACATCAAGTTTATCTAAAGTGCTGTTTTAGATGTATATGTTTAATATCAAATGACTGTTTTCCTACTGGTAAAATTTTATACACTCTTAGTGTGGTTTGTGTCTTAGTCTAGTCATATATTTGCCAATTGCTGTGCATTATATATAGAGAATTTAGTTACACAGAAACTATAAATGCTCACTATATTTTCAAACAAATCTCTATGACAATCTCCAGCTGCAGCTTAACATTTTACATCTTGAATTAATGTGATCAACTAGTCAGTAGCTATAGTAAATCATTATGAACTGTATCAGCTATCTACTAACTATGTTTATTATCATTACAATGTATAAAGTTAGCTATCATATCAGGTAATCCTTTGCCCGTAGTTGAGCACAAAAAAGTCATCAAACAAGATAAAGAAAAAAATTGGGAATTTAAAAACCTGTAAATAGGGATTGTAAATAAAGTAAGAAAACAAGGCTGAGATACTGTAGACATTACTTACTCAAACTAAAAATCCTTATTTTGATTCCAACAAATGTAATTCTAGGTAACAGCATGGAGCCAAAATAAGAGTTTGTAGTTTGAGAAAAATAATGTCTACAATATTTCCAGCCTTGTTTCCTTACTTTTTAGTCCCTATTTGCAGGTTTATAAGTTCCTAATTTTTTATTTATCTTGTTAATAGTTTTTTCAGTTTATGCATAAAATTGTAAATGCTTCTCACATTATACTCTCCATGTACATTTGAGATAAGTGTATATAGACCTAAAAATAAAAATTCACAAAATATGCTGAAAACTGCCTTTAATGAAGGAATATTGTTTAAATATTCCTTATAAATAAAATAACATTTATGACTATTTATGAAAAATGTTCTATTTTCATTTCTGCATAAAAACACATCTAACCTTATTTGAGATTTCAAGTACTCATATTTTGGGACAACAGATTATTCTCTGCTCAACAGACTTTCTCTCACTAGCAAATCAACCAAGTTCTTCTTTTATTGACTTGGGAGCCTTGGATATACTTGGAACTTAGAATGCAATAAATAAATATCATGTTGGTTGTGAAAAGACTAAACACGTTCACACTAAAAAAGAAAAAAAGAGGAGATGAAGCATGGAGTGGGGATATATAAGACACCTTGAGTTTCGATTTATAATAAGTATCTTGCCTTTGGACAGTTGTAATGAGAAGAATGTGACTTAGA